GGTATGATTCACACAACTGGAAAGCTGCAGTGGATGACTATAAACTCTTCAGAAACGACAGGCAAGGAAGGAGAGGCAGTGGGGTAGCCCTGTATGTTATGGGGAGTGTCTTGATTGCCTGGAGCTTAATAATGGTGACAATACAGTTGAGGGTTCATGGGGAGGAATCCAAGGGAAGGCCAACAGGGCAGATATCCAGGTGTGAGTCTGTTATAGACCACCCAACCAGGATGAAGAGGCAGATGACATAGTCTATAAGCAACAGGGAGAAATCTCACAATCACTAGTCCTTGTTGTTGTCCAGGATGTCAACTTACCAGATGTGTACTGGAAATACAACACAGTGGAGAGGAAACAGTCTAGGAGGTTCCTGGAGTGTGTGGAAGAGAACTTCCTGACACAGCAGCTGAGCCAACCAGGGGAGGTGCTCTGCTGGACCTGCTGTTTGTAAACAGAGGACTGGTGGGTGATGTGGTGGTCAGAGGCTGTCTTCGGCACAGCGATCACAAAATTATAGAGTTTTGGGTTCTTGGAGAAGTGAAGATAAGGGTCAGCAGAACTGCTACGTTGGACTTCCAGAGGGCAGACTTTGGCTTGTTTAAGAGACTGGTTAATGGAGTCCCTTGGGAGGCAGTCCTGAAGGGCAAAGGAGTCCAGGAAGATTGGACATTCTTCAAGAAGGAAATTATAAAGATGTAGGCAGTCTTCACCTGCTAGAAGACTAGCTGATGGAGAACACCAGCCTGGTTGAACAGAGACCTTTGGCTGGAACCTGGGGGGAAAAAAGAGAGTGTCATCCTTGGAAGAAGGGGCAAGCAACTTGCAAGGATTACAAGGATGTTGGTAAAAAATTAGAAGGGCCAAAGCCCAGCTAGAACTCAATCTGGCTACTGCCATAAAAGACAATAAAAAATGTTTCTATAAATATATCAGCAGCTGTCCTGGTTTAGGGCAAATTTGGGAGAAAACCTCCAAAGGGGGCCCCTCCAGAAAGCAAACCCACATGGCCCCTCCCCCCCAACTGGTTCAGGAAGGATTCCTCAGAGAGAAGTGGAAAGAACCTGTTTATTTAACAGGCACAGCACCCCCCAGCACACAAAACGAACAGTACCAGATGACAAAACTCTTTCACCGCTCTGAAGAGATTACAAATTCAGAAAGTCTCTCCTGGGAGTGGTCACTGTTATCGGTCCCTCCTGCGCTGGGAATGGCTGCTGCAGGCCACAAAGTGCAAACTCTCGGTGTTTCCCAGGTCCCAGTCCGGAGCAGGTTCAAATGATTCCAAGAAAAGGGAAAGAAAAACAGTCCAGGGAAAATTTGGACTGCCTAGCTAAACTAACTAACAAGCAAAAGCAAGAGCAAAGCAGGAGCAAGAACAAAGCAAAAGCAAGAGCAAAAAGCAAAAGCAGCACTATGTACTGCACCGTCTGTGTCCTGCTGACTGTGGGGGAGTGAGCAGGCTGATAACAAAACAAAACTTCACTTTTCAGAGCCAGTCTTGAAGGTACAGAACATAATATCCAGCATAAACAGAACAGACGACTGGGGATACAAGCATCATAACGTCACCCTAGTACATTAGCAAAAGGCAGGACAAGGAGAATATCCTTAATTTGGTGTGTGGGAAAGCATAGTGTCAAAGGATGAGGAAAAGGCTGAGGTACTCAATGCCTTCTTTGCTTCAGTCTTTTATAACAAGACCAGTTTGTTCTCTGGGTGCCCAGACCCCTGAGCTGGAAGATGGAGACAGGTAGCAGAATGAAGCCCCCACAATCCAAGGGAAACTAGTCAATGACCTGCTACACCACTTAGACACACACAAGTCCTTGGGGCTGGATGGGCTCCACCCAAGGGTACTGAGGGAGCTGACAGAAGTGCTCACCAAGCCACTTTCAATCATTTATCACCAGTCCTGGCTAACCAAGGAGGTCCCGGAAGACTGGAGTTTAGCAAATGTGATGTCCATCCACAAGAAAGGTTGGAAGTAGGATCTGGGGAACTACAGGCCTGTCAGCCTGACCTTGTTGCCAGAGAAGGTTATGGAACAGATCATCTTGAGTGCCATCACATGGTACCTACAGAACAACCAGGGGATCAGGCCCAGCCAGCATGGGTTTAGGAAAGGCAGGTCCTGCTTGACCAACCTGATCTTCTATGACAGGGCAACCTGCCTAGTGGATGAGGCAAAGGCTGTGGATGTTGTCTGCCTGGAGTTTAGTAAAGCCTTTGACACTGTCTCCCACAACATTCTCCTGGAGAAACTGGCTGCTCATGGCTTGAATGGGTATATTGTTGGCTAGGTCTATAAATTTGCAGAGAACACCAAGTTGGGTGGGAGTGTTGATCTGCTGGAGGGTAGGAAGGTTCTGCAGAGAGCTCTGGACAGGCTGGATTAATGGGCTGCGACCAATGGTATTCAGTTCAACAAGGCCAAATGCCAGGTCCTGCACTTGGGTCACACCAACCTGTTGCAGCAAATGCCACAGCACATGCTGCAGTCGAGAGAGCCACAATACACAGAGTATCACCATACAATATCAGAAAGCTTTAAGCATCCCCATACAGAGTAACATCATATCACTTCAGAAGGCTGCAAGCGTCTGCCCTTTTTGTTCTTTAGCCCAACCTTTTATACCCCTCATTGTTCATGCATTGCACCTTGTCACGATCCGTTCTTGCGAACGAGATTCGTGATGGTTTGTTTTACTGATCTCAAGGTGCAAAAACCGACATGACAAGGGGGTTTTGCAGTGATAATCAAAAACAAATGTACCTTTATTGAAATGACCACAGTAAAATGCGTTAGGGAGAGGGGAAGAGAGGAAAAAGGGAAAGAATAAGGAAAAAGGGGGGGGGGAAAGAAAGGAGGGGTATAGCTACCAGACGTGGAACAACGTAGTCCTTCGAAATCCAGTCGACGAAGCCTGTCGTATTCACATCAGGGGAGATCTCAGAGATACTGGTCAGCTCTAACCTCTATTATAGTCTTTTTTGATTGGGGGAAGGGGACACGTTTTGAAATCAAATCAAATGTAATGAAGAATAGTCTATTGAAAAAGGGTACAAAAAGTCCATCAGCAGTAGGTGAGAACCACTGTCTTCTTGGTCCAATGGCCAGCTTGCAGGCAAACATCTCTGCGTTCCATGAGGTGAACAAACACACCTGTGAACAATGGTTTGGCTTGGTGGGCAAGCCAGACCCAGATTTCAGAACAGGATCTTTTCTTTCTTTTCTTTTATTTTCTTTCCCCGGTGGTCCCAGTTTCTGTCCTTTTCACAACGATCGTGAGGCAAAAAATGAGGGAAATTTCAGGCAGACACTTATACATCTGTGTGCCTTCTGTTCCCTTTCATAATTGGTCAGTACACCTCGGCTCTCCATGTCTCATTACTTTCAATACTGTTCACCTGCTTTTCACAGTTGTAGCCCATTAGGGATGAGGCTTGGCCACAGCCCCATTCCCAATTACCACAAACTGTCTACCTACACCAATCCCCTACAGTGCTACAGGCTGGGGCAGAGTGGCTGGAAAGTGGCCCAGCAGAAAAGGACCTGGGGGTGCTGGTCAACAGCCAGATGAACATATGCCAGTGTGTGCCCAGGCATTCTGGCCTGTATCAGCAATAGTGTGGCTAGCAGGACCAGGGTAGTGATCATTTCCCTGTACTGGGCACTGGTGAGGCCACACCTTGAATCCTGTGTTGAATTTTTGGACTCTCACTACAAGAAAGATATTGAGGTGGTGGAGTGTGTCCAGAGAAGGGCAATGAAGAAGTCCTATGAAGAGCAGTTGAGGGAGCTTGAGGTGTTTAATCTGGAGAAAAGGAGGCTCGGGGGGACCTTATTGCTCTCCACAGCTAACTGAAAGGAGGTTGTAGCAACATGTGGATCAGTTTCTTCTCCCAGGTAACATGTGACAAGACAAGAAGAAACAGCTTTAAGTTGTGCTAGGGAAAGTTTAGATTGGATATTAGGGAAAATTATTTCATGGACAGTGTTATCAAGCTGTCCAGGGAAGTGGTGGAGTCACCATCCTTGGAGGTATTTTAAAAGCTGTATAGATGTGGTGCTTAGGGACATGGTTTAGTGTTGGATTTGGCAGTGCTGGGTTATTTGTAGGACTCGATCTTAGAGGTTTTTTCCAACCTAAACATTTCAATGATTCTAAATAATGCTTGCCCACAACTGTTTATTTAAAGTAGTGAATATCAAGTGTTAGCTTTATTATTACAGTGGTAATGTTCAGTATGAAACTTGTGTGATGTCTGAAAGAGACTTGCACACTCTATAAAATCATAGCTGTCCAGTGTGTCAGGTCACCCAGATTCTTTCATAAAGGGTAGAAGCATGAAGAGCAGAGTTCAATACTTTAATTTTGATGTTTCTTTTTCCCAACACTGACCAGACTTGAAATCGCAGCCTCAACCATCTCCAGTTCTAATCCATCTGACCCAGCGACAGCAACAACAAACACAGACAGCCCCTGTTCCTCCTCCTGGGCTGGAGTCCTTCTCCCAGGTAAAACTCCACGAGCCATTACCAGTAGACACCTCTACTGCTGTTAGCAAAATGTTACAGCTCCCCACTATATCTATGGATAACCAGGAAGTGACTGCCCACCAAATCCAGCAGAAGCAGATAAAACCACCAAAACGGAGGATAACTCCAGCATCCAAGGTGGGTAATTGAGTTTGTTCATAGTAAACATATAAGCAAACAAAAGCTTGTGTCAGCAATAGTATGGCCAGCAGGATCAGGGAAGCAATTTTCTCTCTGTACTTGGCACTGGTGAGGCCACACCTCGAGTCCTGTGTCTAGTTCTGGGCCCCTCAATTCAGGAAGGATATTGAGGTTCTGAAGCAAGTCCAGAGAAGGGTAATGAAGCTGGTGAAGGGGCTGGAGCACAAGTCCTGTGAGGAGCAGCTGAGGGAACTGGGGGGGCTTAGCCTGGAGGAAAGGAGGCTCAGGGGGGACCTTCTCCCTCTCTACAACTCCACCAAATCCAGCAGAAGCAGATAAAACCACCAAAACGGAGGATAACTCCAGCATCCAAGGTGGGTAATTGAGTTTGTTCATAGTAAACATATAAGCAAACAAAAGCTTGTGTCAGCAATAGTATGGCCAGCAGGATCAGGGAAGCAATTTTCTCTCTGTACTTGGCACTGGTGAGGCCACACCTCGAGTCCTGTGTCTAGTTCTGGGCCCCTCAATTCAGGAAGGATATTGAGGTTCTGAAGCAAGTCCAGAGAAGGGTAATGAAGCTGGTGAAGGGGCTGGAGCACAAGTCCTGTGAGGAGCAGCTGAGGGAACTGGGGGGGCTTAGCCTGGAGGAAAGGAGGCTCAGGGGGGACCTTCTCCCTCTCTACAACTGACAGGAGGATGGAGCCAGGTGGGGGTTGATCTCTTCTTCCAGGTAACAGTTGACAAGAGGAAATGGCTGCAAGTTGCGCCCAGGGAGGTTTAGATAGGATATTAGGAAAAATTTCTTTACAGAAAGGGTTGTCAAACATTGGAACAGGCTGCCCAGGAAGGTGGTGGAGTCACCATCCTTGGAGGTATTTAAAAAACATGTAGATATGGTGCTTAGAGACATTGTTTAGTTGTGGACTTAGATTAATGGTAGGACTTGATCTTAAGGGTCTTTTCCAACCTAAATGATTCTATATATAAGTTTCTAGAAAGAAGGAGAGCAAAGACCATGGTCTGTTTTTTGTTTATAAAGCAGGAAATTCAAAGCTGAATAGTTTTTAGGTTCAAAATACAGTGATGTCTTTTCCAAGCATATATCTAATTGTTCTGTGTGGAAAATGACTGTTACTATGTGATTTTTTGATTGACTTAGTAGCCACAAGATGAATATTGGCTGAGGGGGATGATCACAGATGACACTGATATTGTAGAATAGTATGGCTTACTCTTTCAGCTCCAGATCAGGGCACAGAATCAATGAATTAATTTCAGGTTACAATAATGTAGTTAATTTATGTAAAGTGGGGGGTTGTCGCAGATCTAGTTAGCAGCAAAGGCTGAGGCAGTAACTTAAGAAGCCTGTAGTTAAGGGACAAGACTGTCAGTTACTTATATCTTTAATACAGATAGTGCATGAAAAGGAATTATGTTGGGTTTTTTCTTCCTTTAAGATTCCTGCCTCAGCAGTGGAGATGCCTGGATCAGCAGATGTGACAGGATTAAATGTTCAGTTTGGAGCTTTGGAGTTTGGATCAGAGCCTACGCTCATAGAATTTGGATCAACTTCAAGCAGTGAGAATACCAGCCAGGCAACCAACAATAGCTTGTACTCAAAATCTGTCAAGTATGACTTTCCCTCCTGCATTCTTTCATGTTTTCTTTAAGGGGTCAAGTTTGTGCCAAAAACGTCAAGGCACAATTGCCATGTAATGAGAGGGAGAAATATGATGACATATAAGCTGAACATGTGCCCAGGTGGCCAAGAAGGTCAATGGCATCCTGGCCTGTATCAGCAATAGTGTGGCCAGCAGGGCCAGGGAAATTATTCTTCCCCTGTACTTGGCACTGGTAAGGTCACACCTTGAGTCCTGTGTCCAGTTCTGGGCCCCTCAATTCAGGAAGGACATTGAGGTGCTGGAGTGAGTCCAGAGAAGGGCAACAAAACTGGTGAAGGGTCTGGAGTGCATGTCCTATGAGGAGCAGCTGAGGGAGCTGGGGATGCTTAGCCTGGAGAAAAGGAGGCTCAGGGGGGACCTTCTCACTCTCTACAACTCCCTGACAGGAGAGTGCAGCCAGGTGGGGGTTGGGCTCTGCTTCCAGGGAACAAGGGACAGGACAAGAGGACACAGTCTTAAGCTGTGACAGGGGAGGTTCAGGTTGGACATTAGGAGGAATTTCTTCCCAGAAAGGGTGATTAGACATTGTAATGGGCTGCCCCAGATGGTGGTAGAGTCACTGTCCCTGCAGGTGTTTAAGGAAAGACTGGATGTGGCACTTAGTGCCGAGGTCTGTTTGACAAGGTGGTATTTGGTTATAGGTTGGACTCAATGATCTCAGAGGTATTTTTCAACCTAATTGATTCTGTGAAGTGTTTTCTGTGGATGACATCTTAAAACAGAAATTTATTTCCTAATTACAATCAAAATCTCCCTGGATAGGTCAGTATGAAGCTGGAGATGACATGAATGTATATAACCTTATAATTAAGCTACCTTTTATAAAATTGCTATTTTATGTTTAGTTTTCCTGATTTTCAAATTTGTTTGAGGGTTTGTTCCTCACAACACAATTTTTTTCTCCTTTTTGGTCCAGGAGAGATGACCTTTGTACCATATATGTGTATTAGTACATTGGCATCAGATTAGAAATCTGATGCTTCTATGGGATGAGAAAAAAAGCCAGTCTTTCATTATGCAGAACCTCTTACTAAAATGCTAAAATGGCCAATGATAAATGATGATAAATGCCAACATACTTGTAACCCTTTTTTTCTTCCTTATTCATTCAAAAATTAGCTTCAGTAAGAAGTTTCCCAAAGTTAAATCAGAAATATTATTAAAAATAAACTTTCACATTAATTTCTAGTTCTGTAAACTAAAAAAAAAAAAAAGCTGTTCAGAAAGTAAAACAATCCTGCATATTTTAAAGTATTTTTCCTCTTTGCATAGTTCTGTTCAACTTCCTCTTTAATGACAGAATTCTGTTGTTAAAAGAGACTGTGTTTCCCATCATATACCAGACTTTATGGATCTACTTGTTTAAAAAAGAGTTTATGTTCATTAATATATCCTTTGAGAAGGTGAAAATAACATGACCAAAAAAAAGTGCTTGTGTGTAAACTCTTGTTTTGGTTGGGCTGGCAAGAGGAAGATGAATGGTGCTTAGTGCAGCAGATGGTTTTGAAGCAGTGATTACTGGGGACCAAAGTAAAATTATATATTTTTTTCTCATTATTAGATTTTTTAGTATAAATAATGTATATTTGACTCCATGTTTAAGGTAGTTCTAGATAACTATATAGGAGCTGATATTTTCACAAAGGTATTTGAGATGTAGTTTGCCATGTTGAGAAATAATTTTTACTTTTTCCAGTGATCCTTTGAATACCTCTCTGCCAATATCCAATACAGTACAGGAGTCTACCTACACAACCTCTGCCACCAGCTCTTCCAGTCTGACCTGCTCATCCCAGATCACTAGCCCAGTAACAACTTCCTCCTATGAGCAGACTTCTGTTCTTAGTAGGATAGTGTACGAAAGCTCCATGGCTCCATCTGAACCAACCTCTGTTGCAGTTACAGTGAGTGAAATTCTGAAATAAGACTTTGAATAAAGGGAAATATTCTTATCGGTGTTAGACTTGTATTACCCAAATATGTTAATATTTTAACCAAGCCAAGTGGTATTTTTGATTCCCAAAGTCCATTCTGTTGTTTTTTCTTTTCCTATTTTGTAGCCATTTTTTGTATATGGGATATAAGAGCCTCTGCTTTTATGGATTTTGACATCTTAAATTGCTGTTTGACCTTTATTCTTAGTAACACTTAACATTCTAGTTGAGTTTCCTTCCCTGAAGCTTAGTTTTTTAAAAAGGAACTATTACTGTATGTAAATATCAGTAATGGTATTTTGCCATAACTTGACCATTTCTATCCAAAGTTATATTATTTATTAAATTAATATGGCACCTAGAAAATGAATCCCAAACTGTTTGTGGCCCTTCCAACATTACTCTTTTGTTGGATTTAAACTGCAGTTGGAATTAGTTTCATCTTTTATTTTAAAAAGCATAAGGAGAGATCTAATCTAGGACAGAGAGAGTCTCAGGAGATGTTCAAAAATACCTACTCTATTTGTATATGAAATGTAGGTTTGTTTTAAGAGAATTTATTTTATCAAATATTTAAGGAACTTGTGATAGTTTGTAAGTTTATTTACTCCTGGCCTTTGTTATATAATGGCTCAGTCACACTTGTCTTCTGCACTAGCTCGTATTTACTGGTGAGGATCAAGCATAGGCTATCCACTTCTGTACCTCCAGCGTTATCCAAAAAACAACTGGTGCCTCTCAAGTCTTATCTTTCAGTGGAAAAAAAAACTGGCGTCTCTGTGTAACTTGGATAGTTAAAATTGTGAGTTGCATTAGATCAGAAACACAACCATTTCCTATATGTTATAGCAATTCTTTCTTTCATATCAGTGTGAACCTGAAGTTTATGTTATATACAGTAGATGGGATGGTCTCCAGCTAATGGGTGTATTATGGGCAGTATATGGGATTCTGTATGTTCAGTACACCTCACACTCGAGACAACTTTATTATGTGGTTTTGTTAAAGGCTACAAAAAAGTTAATTTTCTGTCTTTTTGGTCTTTCAATTTAGAATGAATATAGAATTTTGCATGAAGCATGTTCTGTGTGTGGTTTGGTCTGAAAATTTAATATTCCTATTTGATTATTTATCCATTTCTTCTTTGTTTACAGAACGGGCACAGCACTGTTAGAACACAGGCAACTCTTGACAGTAAGTTTAAAAAGCTTGGTTGTGCAGAGGACTTTCTGATCCTTCCTTACTACTTGTTGTGTGCACAACTGTAGCAGTGATGTCTGGTTGTTCTCACTGACTATTTTATTACTGACTCTTTTGAGTTTATTTTGTATTTCCATAGGATAAACTACTTGCTGCTTGACTAGAACTGAAGTGTGAAAGCAGCTCTATTAAATCTACAACCCTAAGCAGACTTAGAATTAAAGAACCTGATTTGCTGCTGCTTTCTTTTGCATTTATCTGCCAAAATTAGGAGAAAATAAAAAAAAATTAGTATAAAATTTATTAGTAATTCTTCCAATTCTCAGTTGGGAAGCTGTGAATAGCATTTAGCTGTAATGACACAAAGTGACATTCTTGGAATGCACCTCTCATTGGGTATAGTGCTACTTGTGCCCTATGAGAAGCCCATGGGGAATAAGGGTGACTAACATGCTCCCTCTGCCAGGTACCATGCTCCCTTGCAGTGGATTAAGAATAACATAATACTGGCTCTGATACAGGCATTACTGTTATCTTTATCTTGGCCAGGTTCTAATGTGGTATTTTACTTGTAGCATCCCTACATCTCTGTTCCTGGAGTTAAAATAATTAAATTAAATTCTAGCAATTAATCTTCTGACCTGTGCTGCTCTGTGGAAATTTTCAAGGGCAGCAGTGTGAATTATCATCTTTTGAAATTCCAACACTTTAAGTCTGTCTTCCTCTTAAGCATCTCTTCAGGTAGGTCACTAATAGGGCAGACTGTCTTTTTTTATACTTCTGAGTAGAAAGAAGTTGGGCATTCAAACCTATAAACAGTGTTTTGTTAGTGCTAAGTTAAATTTAAATGAGCAGGAGGAGTATATATACCCAAAGAGTTACCACTTGAAAGATTGTTATATACAAAAACAACTTTTCAAGTGGAAAAGTTTCTTACTCTTGTGTACAGAATTAATGAATAATGTATGAAATTCACTACAGGACTTGGTTTTTTTGCTATGTAAAACAAAGATCTGAAAATTCCTAACATTTTTGTAATTGTTCTGTAACAGCTTTATTAGTCCCTTTTTCTGAGCCAGTTCCCCTTTGAGAACACTTTTGGTCTTTTCTATATTTCAAGCACATAAACTGGAATAAGTCTTCTTCCATGTATCTATTTCATTAATCCAAACTATTATGTATTTTCTATTTTTAACATTTGAAAGTACTGACATTTTCCCTTCTGCATGCGCTGATAATATTCTTAGTTCATAGGAGGGTTTGGGTTGGAAGGGATTTCAATACTCCTTATGCACTGCGTGGTGCACCCACCAAATCCATGTCTCTCCAGTTTAGAGACAAGGATGTTGTGTGGGACAGTGTCAAATGCTTTGCACAAGTCTAGGTAGATTACGTGAGTCACTCTTCTCTCATCCACCACATTCCCCTTTTCCAGTCAGTGGGAACTTCACTGGACTGCCACGACTTCTCAAATATGATGGATAGTGGCTTAGCCACTTCCTCTGCCAGTTCCCTCCAGACCCACAGATGTATCTCTTTAGATCCCATGGATTTCAGGTTCCTTAAATGGTCTTGAACCTGATCTTCTATAGAATTTCCTTCTCTGTTGTCAGTTACCCTCATGCTTATTGTCAAGGCCAAGACTTCTTGATTTCTGTATGTATAGCAATCCAGTAACCTGACTTGAGTCATTTAGCAAGGAAAGCAAACCAGTAACTTGAACAAACTGTGATGTGTACCTTCTGAGTGTATATGTGAATTTTCTTTTGTGACCATTCTAAGATTGTCTTTACATGCATTCAAGTTAGTGATGATTCACTGGCTCGTGGTCTCTGATATGGTATGGAAGCATGGTCCAGAAGAAGGCAGGGCTCAACTCTCTCTTGCTTTTATTGGTGAATGAGTGCCTCTAATTCTGTGTATTATCTTCAGAGAACAAGAGATAAGTGTAGAAACAGCTGGGTATACTGTTGGGCAGTAGAGTTGTTCAGTGTCTTAGTATAGTGATCATTTGGAAAGGTACATCTGTGGTAAACAAGTTCTACTCTGTGTACCTGAAAGCACTATTCATGCTTAAAGCTTTTTGTTATCTAGGTCACATAAAGTTAGACAATATTTGACAACTCTTTAGCCATCAAAAGTGCTTAATGCTGTACCCACTTGTGGCCTTTTATCATAGCTTCTTTTATTCTACTGCATCAAACATTTGACTCAGTTCTCTGAACTGATAAGTTGTATGTGCCCTTGTACTCCAGCGATCCATGTATTAAACATCAATGGTGCTGTATAGGTTGCAGTGAAGAAGCAGAGCTGTAGGTAAAAGCAGTTTTGTACAGCACAAATTACTTCTGTTTGTGGAACCAAATGCAAGGAATTTTAAAGTGAGGACTGACTTGTGAGCAAAAGGTAGTAATCCAGATAGTGGGAGTTTAAGTGCAGAAGACTAGTTTGCTACACACGTAGCATTGAAAATTATAAATCTACTGTGGGTAAAGAGCCTAAAGGGAAAAAATTATAGTTATGTTGCTGTTTGAATTTTCATTAATAGCCTGATTCTTGATACTGTTATTGGTTCTTACTGGTCAGGTTTTTGTAAACCAAGGGGAGAGAACACTGTTGTGTTCGTGAATCCAGGCTAGGATGTCAAGTATGCTGGAATTTGTCTTTGTCTCTTTTTAATTTGTTGCAGCTACTTCATCAGTTCCTGTGCTTAAGACAGAGCCTTCTCCCTCACTACCTTCTGCTGGTTCTCTGCCCAGCATGGTGTCCACTACTGCTTCACTTCTGCCTTCAGCATCGCAGCATGCAGGAACTTTGCCCAGCTTGCCTCAGTCCAGTGATCTGGCCAGCAGCTCACTCTCACAGTTAAGCAGGTACAGTAGGAGTTGTGATAAACTGAAAGGAGTTCAATTGTCAGGAAAGGACAGACATAAGGGTGATTGTGTATGGGGCTGTCAGGCACCAGGGTCTCTTTTTCTGACATTAACTAGAATTAGGAGAGAGATTCAGAAGAGTCTAGGATGTTTCTGGTTACAAAGTATGAGCTCTGGGCTGCCTCTTAATGATAGAGCAGCTGCTGCCCATGGTTGTCTTAGTTTAAGACAAGTTACGAGGTGGACACTTTGAAACAAGTTACCTCCCCTTTAGTTTTAACCAATCCCTTTCCACCAGTAAGGAGATATGAATATTGTTATAGATGAGTAATGGGATGATTTGCTCTCGCAATTAAGGGATGAACATTGTGTGTATGTTAAGAGAAATTTTATTGATGTATAGTTATGTTATTGTAGTTTGTTGTTTAGACGTCCTCTGTTCTCCCCATAGTCCCCTTTCCCCGCCTCTGTATTGTTGCCACCAGACAGCCTGGGTTGTCAGGGTTGTCCGAGACATGTGGAGGGAGGGCGTGCACATGTGCCCCTTGCATGGGGCAATTGGGAATGGGGAAAGCTTGTTGCTAGGGGGTGTGGCATGACAACACCTCACCTCCAATCAAGTTGCAAGAAAGTAGTCTCCTCCAATGGACGGCGAAGAAGAGTTGACTGACAGACTTTAGGAGAGGCCAAGGTTGCCTAATGCAACCCCATGGGTATAAAAGGCGGAGCAGCCATTTTGTAGACAAGCTCCTGGCAGATGGTCACACACTCCCAGCGCACTGGCCTTTTTCCTTATTCAGTCCTTTGTTGTATTTTGTTAAGATTTAATAAACCTTTAAAATTTTAAAAGTGACAGGTCGTTTCTCACAAATATGAGTAGATATAAGTGAAAAAATAACAGTTTACTAAAAAAAACCCAGAAACGGGCAAACAAAATAACAGTAATAGTCACTAGTTACAAAATTGCTGGAATCTCGCAGACTCCCTGGGAACAAGGAGAAATTTAAAAATGGCAGAGTAACCCCGCCCCCAAGATGGCACCCTCCACAGACAACCATGTGTGGAAAGACAAAGATGGCAGCAGCTCTCCCCCCCTCTTTTCTCTCTAGTGGCGGCAGCAGCTCCATTGGTGAAAGTGGCTGGCACACTGGCAGCTGTAACTTGGTCAAGGGCTAGAACTCATGGAGGGACTTTGCCTTCCTCTTGGCAGAAGATGGCAAGGCAGCCAGCTGGGGCAACTTGGACTCTGCATCTTCCCATTTCCACTGGGCACTGCTGGTGGGCTGGAGCGATTGTATGGAGCGGGGCTGTTCTGTTCTTTTCGTTGCAATGCCGCAGCTGTAGGCAGGCACTCAATTTGTCTCTCAGAAAAAAAAAACAAAAAAAAAAACTACTTGAGGCAACCCTCAAGGAAAAAACAAAAACAAAAGAAACCCAAAAGAGAGCCTCTGCCCACTGGTGCCTTGGCTCTATCTCCCTGTAAGAACAAAGGGAAAAAAGCCAGAGCCATGAGGCAAGAGAGAGTTCTGCCTGAGTGCCTCAATCTCAAAAACCTGGGCACCTCCCAGCCCTTGCATGGTTGTTTTCCTGCTGCAGGGTCTTAAAGAGACAGCAACAATGTTGGGCACAGATAGATATGGAATACAATAACATTTTTGGTTACCCAGGACAGTGGTATATAAACAACTTAGTGTTTCAAGTAGCTCTTGCTTCAGTCATATCAGCTAAATTGATTCCCCTAGTTTGTTTTTCCTACTTTTCCTGCAGTGCTTGCTGTTCATTTAGTGTTGTATGTTTGAAATTATTCCCTAACAATTTAGTTCCTGGCTAATTTTGAAATATTGTGTTTTCATTTATATTTGTATTTCTTAAAATTAGAAAATGGGAATGGTTCCACAGAGTAAGTGTGTGCCTTTTTCTAAAACATTTCCTTAAGACACTTTGAAATGTCAGATTAGTGTTCCTGGAAGTGCATTTAGCACAGCTTAGCTCATTTACACTGTCTGTCTGATATTTTAGTGCCTGTTACTTGAGCTTTGTCCTTGGACAGGTGATATCCTGAGGCTGTGCTGGTTGTGTTTTAATACTCACCTTTGTACTGTATTTGTTAATATAAGAAACTAATTTTATGGGCTATCACAGACTTTTTTTCTGTTAGACAGCTAGGACATAGTCTCGTAATACACTAGTGTTTTCTGTTGAATAAAATGGTAAATGTGTCAAACAATAATGAATTAATTCACGTTGAAAATATATCCCCACATTTGTTTGTTGAAAAGCTGTGTACATTGGTAGAAATTTTAGTTGGAGGATTGATGCTGTTAGATACAAAGCACCATGAAAGATGGTTCTTGAATTCCAAGCATGTCTGGCTTGGTTGTGCTGGTGGCTCTTGTCCGTCTCTACCATAGGTCAGATAGTGAATTAAGGCTTTTAGAAGAGCTGGGGAGAGTGGGCAAGGGAGTGGTTTAAAAATGTATGTAGGACTGAACTGGTTTTTTCCTTGCTGCTTGAAGTGGTGTCATTGTAATTTCTGCAGGCAGAGAACAGTTTTAAAGAGTCAAAGTAAAATTAATCTATGGAACTGCCAACATTTTTTCTGGTCCTGCACCTCAAAAGAGCTGCCAGAAGTGTTTGCCCTTTAATTAGGGCATATAATTTAGCCTGCAACTTTGCTATTAAAACTACTGTATTTTCTTGTGATTATTTCCATAGAGAACACTAAAATATTTGCTATGGTTAGGATCTCTCTTGCTTCTGATTTCAAATGAGGAGGGTTTTTTTAAGCACCAAACCATACATAGTTTTTATATCATTGCTTTGTCAGTGTTCAATTTGTTTATTGTGCTGTAAGTTATGTTCTTGACCTTGAATGTAAGGTATAACTTCTGTCACTGTAAATCTTTAAAAAACCATTTCAGTCACTTTTCAGGGAGATGTTTGGATTACAGATGTATGTCAGTGCTGCTGTTAGTGCCAATAGTTCACAGACCTGGTCAGTTAGGAAAAAAAGATGGTGCTAAAGCAGAGTTGCTTTCTAAAGCAAAGCTATTGCAAATGTTTTTAATCAGGGGATTCTTTATTTTCATATTTTACAGTGTATGCATAAAACTGAACTAATAATTCTGTTTCATCTTTTCAAAGAGGAAATTGGTTTTGGTAGGGTGTAGTGGTATTAATTGGCCTTGATTAAATTGACAGATTCTATAGTAGTATGGCTAACTTTTGGGCTTTCACAGATGCTCTTAATTTGTTGGGGGTTTTTTTGAGCCCTGTCTTTTGATAGTTCCTTGGGGCCTTTGGTAGAGTTATGGGGCAAATACCCTGCAGTTCTAATTGGTTGAACTAATGTTATACAGGTTATGTGAGAAATACCATAATAACTCCAACCAAAGCACTATCTCACCTAATTAATACTTGTACCCTATGGCAAGCAGCAGCGGTTGCTTATGGAAAGAATGAGAAACAAGCCATGTGTTTCTGTGAGCATTCTTCTGGTTTATGGACTTTACGTAATTCCTGAATCAGCAATTATTTTTTCTAAAAATATAGTAATTTGATAATTAAAAATGAATGGTGGTTTAGATGTTTCTTGTTAGTAATAGTTGTTTCTGTACTTCATTTTTTTCATTAAACCGTAGTAGGATAATAAAGGGAAAATGTAGGGTGTGTTTGTGTATATATATACACATTTCTACAGACAATTTTTTTCTTTATTATCCTACTGTGTGTATATGTGTATACGCATAGCTACAATTTTTATTCTTTAACTAATATTCTATTACCTACTCTATTTCTATATATGTATGTGTGCATATACATAGATATATATTTTAAATGTTTTAGGAAAAAATTTATTAACTGTGAGAAATGACTGCTCACTTTTAAAATTTTAAAGGTTTATTAAACTTTAACAAAAAATACAACAAACGGACTATATAAAGTTATAAATAAAAATCAATTAGGCCAATTTAATAAAAAATAAAAATAGAATTTATTGCGTGACTGATATGCAATCTCAAAAGCCACAAAAAAAAGGACAGCGTTGACCTTGGGATTCAACGCTGGGTGAACCGTGGTCCAATCTCTATCGCATCGGATTCTCCTGTGTTCACAAATGCGGTCTGGTACAGTCTGTGTTTATACTGTTTTTCTGGCCCGAGGCAGGATCTCCTCTTGTTCTTTTCATAGTCAATCGTATTCATGTTGTTTCCTTTCTTCGAGCTGGACTGAAGAATACAGTTCCTGGCCAGCAATGAGCGCTGGTCAAACATATTCATGTTGCCTCCTTTCTTTGAGCTGGACCAGGGAATGCAGTTCCTGGCCAGTGATGAGCACTGGTTAGACATATTCATGTTGTCCCCTTCCTCTGGGTTGTGTTTGACAATACAATTCCTGGCAGGCAGTGATGGCCGGTGATGAGGTTACCTTCTTCCGATGGCTCCCACTGTAATGATCGATCAGGTGCAGGTGGTCCCCACCCCAGCTAGGCCTTTTCAATTGTAAATTAGTTCCCTTCCTGCCATGGGGTGCAATTTTGTAATGGTATGTGGTCTATCTATAGCGTGTAGCATTCTTCAGACTCTGCATGTGAGCTTAAATCATCCTTATATATTTTTTCTAAACATTATAATCTGTATTTATTTCATATTCTAAACAGCACAAATTACATATATATAACAATAAGGAAAAAATACAGCACTGGGAGCCACCATAACTATCAGCCACATGCTCATCTACAAAATGGATGCTCTGCCTTTTATATCCTTAGCCTCTCCCAAAGTTTTGTCAGTCAACTCCTTCTCTGCTGTCCATTGGTGGAGATTACCTTCTTATATCTTGATTGATTGGAGGGCAGGTGTTGTTACACTGTGCCTCGGTAATAAGCTGGCCTTCTCTAAATGCCCTGACTACTAAGGCTATTACAAGGGGGAGGGGAAATAGGACTATGGGAGGACATATTACAATAACATCACTATACATTTTAATATCTGCATAATTTTTATCTCTTAATTGTGATAGCCAACTATTATATTACTCATCTATAACCTTAACTCTTTGCAATTCCTTTTTAGCAACCTTTCCAATCATCAGAGCAGCCTCTCCCCTGCCTCAGTGTTGTCTTCAAGCACATCACATGTGGTAAGTCCTATTTGCATTTCCACAGATATTTGGCATATAGTCAGTTTATCTGATGATTAAGACCCTCTCTTAGTTCAGTGTGTTCCAGTATGCTAATAACCGAAACAAGAGCTTTATCTCAGGGAAGGAGGGCTGCCAGCTCTCTAGTGGTAAAAAATGTCTTTACCACTTGTGATTTGTACTCGATCAGGACTAGCTGTTACAGAGACTTGCCAGTCACACAACTGTAGAGGAAATGTTTGTGCCAGCAAGGGGGGATGGAATATAGAAAGCATTTCTTATAACAAATGTGTTTAATAAACAAATAAAACTTTAAATGTGGCTGTCTGAAACTGCTCTAAAATGTGGACTCTTCGCAGTCTCCACTGGAGAGATTAGCTGGCAAAGTGCAGGTGATGGAGTGGTACATGTCATGACAAATGCTTCAGGGCAGATGATTTTACAGTTTACCATGTGACATTGTTGTCACCTGTGTATTTAATGCATTAGAGATAACAAGGCAAATGGTAGTGAACACAGTGCTCTAGATGAGGTTGCACAAATGAAAGTCAGAGAGACATTGCCTTGTTCTGTCTGTACAATCCCAGTTGGGGTGTGCAGATTGGTTACTGCTTTTCTTTATGCTTGAATTTTGGTTTGTAATGCTCCACCCCTGTTGTATATGTAACTTAAAAATCACACTTATCAAAATGTACTCCTTTTTTGCTGTCAGAGTTCTTTTTGGCTTCTGTGTGTTGATGACGCTGTTTTGCAGGTGTGATCAGTTTACAGCTAAAGCATTGTATTGTGCTGGATTCAAACCAGGAACTCCTTTATCCACATGTGTTCCTGTAATACATTTTGTGTTTCAGTTTACCACATTGACTCTGTTGTGGGGCACTGCAGTTTTAATCTTTTAAATTCCACAAATGCACTGAGGGAATCTAAATAGCAGTGTCCTGTATTTTGAAAGCAAATATCGTCTTTTGGAAGAATATAGTTTATTTAACGTAACAAATACTAGCTTAAAGGAGTATACAAGCAAAAAGGGCAAGAAATTATGCAAGGGAGTGACATTTGAGTTACTGTGGTATAATTTTGTGATGATATAGCAGTTTGAATTTGTCTCATGTAATAATTTTCTTTGAATACTTAAAAATCACAAGCATGCAACTTAATTGCTTGCCTGATACATAGATAATGCATTATTTTTTACATGTGCTGCTGTTACTTAAAAGATTGTTGGGTTTTTTAGTTTTGTTCCCTCCCCCTCCTCCCCTGCATCTTTCACTGTGCCTCATTTTCTCTGTGATCCTCAATCTTTTTGTCTCCTTTCTAGCACTCTAGTGTTGAGAACACAACTTCACTTCAGCCTTCAACAACTTTTTCAACTGCTTCAACCTCAGCCATTAGCACCACCTCTTCGGTTGTCAGCATGGCAAGCAGTATGAACACTACAGCTAGCCTTGGCCTGAATGTTACCAGTGTGTCTGCTACCACACGGGCAGCTCCCTTAATGTCTTCAGGTTTGCAATATTAACTGTTTATGTGGAGAGACAGAGGACTTCGATGAGCAGGGCTGTCAGTTGAGCATCTTGCCAGCTATAGCTACGCTAAGAAATCCACACTTGACTAGCATTTTCAGCATGCTTTATTTTCTGGGTTATAAAATAAAATTGCCTGGGTTTGTGTATTTGAGATATTTTTTAGGACATTATGTGGCATTTATGTAACCTATTCCATCCCCAAAGAGCTTTGTAAATAGAAACCAGGGTAATTCTGACTTTGGAAGTTTTGGACTAGGAGATTGACCCTGTTTGTATTCCATGTTATAATCAGCTCTTTGCTGTGAGTTCACATTAGCTTTAATTTCAGTCTTCTCTGTGACTTGAATTTATTTGGCAGTGTCAAAATATACTGCAGTGTCCTCATTATCATATGCCACTTCCCTATTGCCACATCTAGAGAAAGAAAAAAAGTGTCTGATGTCTGGGTCATTCCACAGAAAATAGCACTTCAGAAAAAGGAACCACAGAGGGAAGGTTGGGAGGCTTCTTGCACTGAAATGAAAGCAATACTAAATTATCTTTCTTTTCTAATAAGCCTGAACTGCTGAAAGGAAATCCTAGGGAGGGAAGTGAATGATTTAAATATTGAGATCAGACTTACTTACAGAAGAATTTCTTATTTCCATAGCTTGTAAATAGTTTCTGATGACTGGTCAAAGTGAATTTTTTTTTAATTTTCTGCTTCCTAGCTCTGCTTCATGTAGGCAATTGAAACCGTTTCAATTTCCTCTTTGCTATTCCCGGTGCAGTAAGTCACCCACAAAAAGTATGCTGGCAACATTTAGTGCTTTCCAGTCTACTGCTGGTGATAAGGGGCAATGTGTTGACAGAGCAGAAAATTAAAGGAGATAATTTGCTCTTAGACTGAAAACAGTGCCTGAATTTTGCCTTCAGGAGAGGACCAAGGAAAGGAGACATTCCAGTAATTATTGTAATTCTCTTGGACAGAGTAAATAACAAAATTAGACTATTCTCTGATGGGACACTTTTCAGTCTTAAGTAGCCTATGGTTTCCCTTCCTTGAGGCATGGTTAAACTCTCCAGGCTATTTTGAGCATTTTCATCAACCAGCACAAAATTCTTCTGTGTAGTTCTGCTTTTACAAAGTAAGACAGTGCAGTTGCCAGGACTTGTGAGCTATCTTGTCTCAATGCTGAAGCCTTTTCTTCTCTAGAGACTTGTTAAAATGCCTGTATTTTAACTCTATAGGCAAAGCTCCCCCAAATCTGCCTCAAGGTGTATCACCTTTGTTGCATAACCAGTATATTGTGGGACCTGGAGGACTTCTGCCTGCCTACCCAGTAAGCAATTTGTTTGTCCTTGACTGATTAAGCCTTGGTGCAAATGAGCCCTCCAGACCTGCTGTTGTCTATGCCAACGCATTTCTGTTGGCACATGTTGCACCTGGAATTCTTGTTCCAAATGCTGAAGAATGTTAAATGTATTCAGTGAGGATTTACTGTTGATAGTAAAATGTATAAGTGTTGGTACAGACCTGATCTGGCTGCTGTTGTAGGTAAACATGCACGTTGACTATGGTTGTCAGTGTTATCAGGTTTTAGGCCCTTTGAATAAAATTAGATCCATTTAGGTTTGTGTTACTGGAGTAGATAGTATTGTGTAGTAATAGTGCATAGTAATGGTTGAAATGTGCCATGTATCCTGTCTGTCACACTTTAATAGATTGCACGTAACTTTTTGGTGTCTGACCAAGATGAACATATTTTTGGTTACTCCCAATTCTGAATGCCCTGTAGATTTTAAACAATTTGATGAATGATGCATCTGCGAAAACCATATTGAACATGCGACAGTTATATTCTCAGAGGACTGCTGTCACAAGGAAACAACATCAGCGTGAATAGCCATTTTAAACTTTGCTCTACTAGCCTTAAAATGCTACAGTGCACCATGATAGCACAATGTGACATATATCTGTACATCTCTAAAATAGACTGGGCCTAGGTCAAACTGTTTAAAGAGAGCCCCAAATTGATCATCAACAGAGAAATGTGTTATAATGTTTTATTTTTTATCTGTCTTTAAGCAGATTTATGGTTATGATGATCTCCAGATGCTTCAATCCAGGCTGCCAATGGTAAGTAAATGGCTTGTTTTAATTAGTTTTAAACAAGTTATCTTCAGTGTTGATCATTTGTGCAACACAAAGTAATTAATTTGATAGTGACTGAGAGCTTATCTCTATGTTCTATATCTGTTTTTTAATCATCCAGTTTTCTAGGTAGTATAAATTGATACAGTGAAACTGTCAATTTGCAAACAGAAGCAAATGTGCTCTGTGCTTGTCAGTTGAGAAAATTTTAATTGTTATAGGGAGAGTATGACATCTTGTCAAAGCTAGTTGAAGTCTGAGTGTCAATGTTCTTTTACCAAGAGGTAGGATTGAACAGCAAGTAAACAAATTGGCATCCAGTAGGTGCATCTGACAGGTTTTTGGAGGTGCTCATGTCACCGAAACTGCGGGAAAAACAAATAACCTCCAACATTTTTAATTTTAGGAAGGCATTACTTTATTCTGGCCAGGATGTACCACAGAAATCCTCTCATCCACACATAGGCTGGATGTGCAGAGAGAATCATTCCATGACATATGTTTTTGCAGGTTTTTCTCCCAAACTTTATAGTCAAAACTCATAGTGATGCACTTTTTTAAAGTTCATTGGTCCAGAGTTGAGCAACCCCCAGTTTTCAGTTTCCCATTGGATCTGAATCTCCTCACCTCGGGCTGTTAATTAGATTGTCATTCTTCAATTTTTTTATCAGTCCTTTCCAGACCAGATGTCTCCAACTCTGCCAGAGGCGGCATCTGAGGGTAGATGTTCACAGATGACCGTTGATGTTCTGTTAATGGCCGCTGATGGCCCTTTGTCTTTTGGGCTACTCCCAGTCTGTTGATCTGTTGAGTTCCTCAGGTGGTGGAACAATGCCCTGGAAAGAAACGGAACTTTTTCCCAGGGCAAAGGTTAACAAAACCCCTTCACTAAAGTTATACAAAATTTTTTAAACTGGTATGTTTTCCAACACTCATAGGTGGTGATCTTTGCATGTGCATCATGGTGACAAATGCAGGTGAGCTGCAGGAGGGAGAGTAAATGAAGTTTTCTTCTTTACCTGGATGAAGAATGTAAATGGCTTGAGTGAAGCTGAGAGTTAGATTCACAAAGAGTCTCAGCCTAGATTGCAGAAAGGTAAATAATTTTGTTTTCAGAAAACTAGGACAAGGATCTTGAAGAGAACGTTTGGTAGTATGTTACTGAGAAAAGTCACCAGATTTAGTGATTCAGTGTATCTCTAGATGCAGAAATGGAGCAACGAGCAGTAATCTGAAAAGAAGTATCACTGGATGAATGCCATAGATAAAGGTCGAAGTCAGAACCAGGTCTTACATGTGGAGTCTGGGGACAGCCAGAGTGAGATAGTCAAAGGTAAATACAGGGATGTCCTAGACAAAACCCTGTCCAGCTGCACAGCCTGAACACCTGTCTCAAACTCAGGCAACTTTATTTTATAACCCAGCAAATAAAGCATGCTGAAAATGCTAGTCAAGAGTGTAGATTTAGTGCAGTTATGGTAGTCTTAGGAGGAGTGGCTGAAGGAGCTGGGGTTGTTTAGCCTGGAGGAAAGGAAGCTCAGGAGAGACATTATTGCTCTCTACAATTCCCTGAAAGGAGGTTGTAGTGAGGTGGGTGTTAGTGTTGTTAAAAGCAGAGTTCAAGATAAAGAATTTTTGTAAAGTTAAATAAAAGATAAAAAACAAGAGACAAAAGCCCAGTGCCAGGGTGCTCCTAGCAAACAGCCAAAGAACACACCAGTACATACAGACAGTGTTATCTTTATAGGGTTACATCTGTGAGGTACATGCATATTCATGTTTTCATACATTATTCAAGCATTCTTGTGAACTTTCTCATGTTTTGGGAACTCCTTTGTTTGGCCTTGTCACATTCCAACTTATCTGCATGACATCCTGTGTGTCAGGTCAATATATTTTATTACTTCTTGTGTCTCCATCGGTTTCTCCCCCCCCCCCCCCCCGCAGTTTATTTTATACCCTTATATTTTATACAGCGTTTATTTCCACGAATTACTGACTATATTCCTAACACTGCTGTTTCACATCCTCTGATAAGGATTTCGTATGTCCTCCTTAAATTTAACATGGTATTCTCTACTTGTCCTCTGTGCTCTGGTTTTTGTCATGGTTATCTTATCACTTGGAGGATTCAGTCAAAAGAAAGGGGAACAACATGATCACTTTACAGCATTTGTTAGGTGTCCTGAGTTGACTATATGATGCTTTTTTTATAGGCAACAACCAGATTAAGCCAAATAAATAATTTGAGAAAGCCAGATTAAAATAAAAAGGAAATAGATTTTATTTTACGAATCAAAATACAATCTCTGTCAGCCACAATCAAAGGGACAGCGTTGAGCCCGGGACTCAACACTGGGTGAACGCAGTTCTGACCCCCTCTCGCATCAGACCTGTGGAGTTCACAAAGTCCGTCTGGTGAGCCGCGGTTATATACTGTTTTTGTTGCCTGGAGCTAGGTTTCTTTTGTTTCTTTCTCTTTCTCCGAATATTCATGCAGTCCTCATCCCCTGTCCGGTGTTAGAAGAATTCTATCTTCGAGTAGAGAGAACAGTGTCCAGGGCTTTTTCCACTTTTCTCCAAAGAAGTATTTTCTCCCCAACCGGTTGAGGGGAGGGGCCAATTGAATCTGCTTTTCTAGAAGAGCCCCTTTGGGGGTTATCTCCCAAATTTGCCCTAAACCAAAACAAATACAGTTAATGGTGCCCAACATGGAGCTCAAGAAAGTGGAAAAAAAACTCCTTTATTGATTGCATGTTGGTTGTGCTTGCTCTGTAGTAAGTTAAAGCAGTCAGTAGCCGTGTTGCTTGAATTCGTAATGTCTCTTGGGGTGGAGGCCTTAATGTAGTTCTGGTCTCTAAACCTTTATAAGGTTTCAATACCTTTCTAGTCACTAGGATTTTTGTCCCTATCATGTAGTTTTTACAGTAGAGGGGCGCGGATTAGAATAACTATTGTGCTGGCCTTGGTGATAATGATTTATAGAGTGTTACGAAGATACTGGCATCTGTTTACAATATGTATGGTTTATAGTTTCTTCGTCCTACCCTGTGTCCCAGTTCCAGTAGTATGTTTTGAGAATAATAAATAAATAATTGCACCCAGTCATTTAGAGGAGCAGGGAATGAAGATTTCCAGCCTTTCCTTTCCTTCTTCTCCTTTGAATCTGTTATGTCACTTTTTGAGAATGTTCAGTTTCCCTTGAATGTTAAAGAGACCATCTTTCTAGTATTTAATCTAGTAAGCTTCCTCTATACAGTCTACAGCTTCTCTAAAATGAGGGCTGAGATGTCTAGAAGAGCTGACGAGACCTCTGACCCAGAAGTAGACCCAGGCGTGAAAAATCCTGAGTAGTGTAGAGAATAGGAAAATATGAGCCAAACCCTGAAGGAATTCTCTGACCCTGTAGCCTGGGATTTTCCACATGAACAAATTCAGAACCCAGCTGAAGTGGAGAAATACCTGAAAGAGAAGTGCCATGATGACTCTAAAGAGAAAAAGCTCATTGCAATAAGCTGGGCCCTGTCCTATCCTTCTCACACACTGCTAAATACTGTAGGGCAGCAGATAGAAGCAGGGGGGCAGGGAGATAAATCAGCAGCTACCCCAGTCACTCAGGCTGCAGCCAACACCCCAGCTACTCAGGCTGTAGCTAAACCAGACAGTAACTCTAAGCCACTGGCAGTTGCCGCAGGAAAGAAGCACACAAACAAAACCAATCGGCTAGTGACTGATGATGATGATCTAGGAGAAGGACCCTGAACACCAATTACTGATACAAAAGCCAAAGTTAAAACAACTAACACAACATCAAAAGACACTATTGAGTCCTATTCCCTGAAGGACCTTCATGGCCTAAGAAAAGATTACACTCGAAAACCTGATGAATCTATAATTAGTTAGTCAGTCTCTAAAATGCTGCAGCCGAGGCTACAGTTTTGGACGGTAGGGAAGCGAAGCATTTAAGATCCATGTCACATGATTGTGTCATCGACCAAGGAATGATGAGGGGGGCTAACCCTCACAGCCTCTGGACACAGGTCCTGGGAAGTGTAGCACAAAGATACCTGTGTGCAGACGATCTCTGTATAAAGCAAACTCAGTAGAAGACCACAGAACAAAGGATTCAACGCTTGAAAGAAATGGCAGTGGCAGAAATTGTCTTCTCAAATGACGTAAACACTGTAAATCCAGACTTGGTACCATGTACATCTGTGATGTGTCGAAAACTTGTACAACTTGGGCCACACGAATATGCTTCTGCTTTAGCCATAATGAAGTGGGATGACAGTGAGGAGACTGTGCTTAATATAGCAAAGAAGCTCCGAGCATATGCAGATGCTGTACACAGCCCAACACATGCCAGAATCGCAGCAGTAGAAACACGTCTGCAAAAATTAGAAGACAACATGGAGGAGAACCACAAAAAACTCAGGGAGGAGATTAAAGACGGCTTTCTCCAAATCTCAGCAGTACAGATCAGAAGTTCTGGTACCCAACGCAGACATTCCCCAGATAGAGAAAAAAGGTACACCCCACAAGCTGAGCTGTAGTTCTTCCTGCGTGATTACGAAAAAAAGATGAAAAGATTACATGGAAAGTCTACTGCTGCTCTAGTCCAACAAGTTAGTGAACTGAAAACTCAGAGAAGAAGTTCCAAAAGGAAAGCAACTTCAGTGACCCATAACCAAACTGCCATATATGATGATGATGATGACGATATTTTCAATCCCCTTGGAGGAACCTCCAAGACCTATGCCCAGGGAAAAAAGGATAACCAAACTTAGAGGGGCCCTGCCTCTAGCCAAGTAGAGGCTAGGGAAAACTGTGTTAGACTGTGTAAATTCGTTAGTCTGGCACATCTGAACCACAAGAATATAAAGCTTTAGTCAACATTGGTGCGCAGTCCACATTAATCCCATCAAAACATGTAGAAGCAGATTCTGTTTCTATCGCTGGTGTGACAGGGGGATCACAGAATTTTA